CTGATCCAGAAATTGTGTGAACCCCCCAACTCTTGGCTTATTGAAGACAGTCAGTGTTTCTCAGCTCTCTGGTATTGACCAAAAGGAGCCCATGCTCTCTTGGAACACAGGACACAGAGTCTTGCTTCAGAGTCCAGGGCTGAGGTGGGTGGGGATGTTAGATAGCATTTCTGCTAAGACCACCGAGTTACATTCTGGCATCTCAAGATACGTCTCACCAGGCGTTTTATCTTCCTTGGATTCTTGGAAGAAGACTGCAGTGATACCTATGAAGCATGTTTTTAGTAGCTCAGTTGATTTGTCAGATTATAGCTATATGGCTCCACAGCTAACGTAGCTCTTCCCAAAGCATATAGAATATACACTTTTGGGTCTATATTGAATGCTCATAACCCTCCACGGAGTCAAGAATCCTACGCCATAAGTTTCTGAGACCATGTGATGGTCTCAGATGCATACAGGCCCTCACACGACAGACAGGCTATGCTTTATGGGCTAATATACAAGCCGTAGGTTGTTCCCAGCTCGCCTGCTCAATGGAATTGGAAAGATAGCATTCATAGTTGCAAAAGGCCAGGACTAACTGGGAGATATCTGGTACGGTTTCTTTCTGTCTCTTAGGCTGATACTATCTCAGAGAGATGGTTCAATTAGCTAGATTGCTTCTTGCTATCTACATTTAGCCACAGAATTTAATGCTATCATTAGATCTTAAAAGCACCAAATAACAAACCTTTCAGTGTTTGGAAATAGAGGGTTATCTCTTCATTACAAGCGTTTTCCTTCTCTTTTTCTTGACTGGTGTTACAATTGTGCCATGGCTGAAAGACGACCATGTCACTTTGTATTACGCATATTGATGTTACAAATTAGACTGATTTCTTATTGGAATGTCATGTTTTGCTGCTAATGTATGGTGTCTCTCTCTTCCCCCCCCCCCCATAGGAAAATCAAATAGACTTTTTAAAAGCACTCGCTCTCCAATTGTTTTGGACTGCATGTCCCATCAGTCTTAACC